TGCATATATATACATTTGCCTTGTGTGTCAACGGCTCGACTAATGATTTGAAGAAGCTAAATAGCGACATTCTTTCAGCAATAGCATTTCTCCTATCAGAAATCGTTACACTTAATTGCTCGTACGATGTTTATTGTCGGAGCTAAATATGCTGCTGAATCTTTACAGTTCATGAAGTGCTTCTTATCCTGAGATTTTTGACATTGATATATGGTGAAATATTTAGAATTCTTTGATCGCTTAGTTTTGTTAATGATTTTGAAGACTTTGAACAGGTTAAAAATGATTGAAGTCTTTGAATTTCTCAGTTTTCGATTGATCCTTCGCAGTCATGAGTGCCCCGAAATTATCCGAGTCGTGGAATTTTCCTACTTTCGTGGTGATTATTTGCAATTCTAAATGACTGGACTCGTTGACAGATTTGAATTTCTTAGCTTGCTGGTTATGTTTGACGTTTTGAATGGATAGAGTGCATTAATATGTTAGATTTCTTAATCATACAAATAGCCTTCTGACAACCTGCGAAATCAGAAAATCTTTCGGATTTTTTGATTTCTCAGGTACCCATATATTCTTGACAATGTTCAAGTACTATAAATCATTTACATTATTAAAACTTCTTGTTCTTATGCCGAGGAATTGTTGGATTTCTTGATTTCTTGCTTATTGTTGATATTCGCAAATCGTTGGGTATCCTTGTTGTTTGTAGTTTCTCGCTTTTCCTAGGATAATCTGAACATGCTGCGAATCGATACTTGATTCTGATTTCTTAGTTTTCTTACTGTTTACTCATACTGCTAAGTGAGTAAGATAACTTGAACTTATGGAATTTCAGAGTTTCTTGACTATCCTTGACAGCTATGAATCGCTGCAAATTTTTCAAAATTCAATGGTTTCCCGCTTTTGCATTGCAAAAACTTTGATTTCTCAAAACTCTTGGTTGTTAGAAGAGCCTTGGTACTAGTTAATGAACTGCAATGCTCCGACTATAGAATTCCTTCCTTTCCTAGAAAGGATGAAAATAAGATGACATCATAAAATTCTCAGACTTGGCACTATCGGACTATTTCATTTCAGACAAGAACTTGTGCGGGTGGGTTTTGGGTCTGCGGGTGTAGCTGTTGATGCGGATATCCGCAATGTTCTTGGTTACTATCATATCTATACATAAGCACATACACCTGACAAACTACTATGCATTTGAATCCATATCGAATTTTTGTGCTCGATGATTTCTCCAATCGACAACATAGAGATTCCCGTGTCGATCGAATGACAAACCGAAGGGCCAATTGAGTTGGTTCGATTGTCCTCCTCTACCGTTTCTACCAACAATGACACTTCCTTGTGTGGCTCCTTTAGGCCAACGCATGATTTGATCATTCTCTCGATCAGCCACATAGACAGTGCCCAATTGATCGACAACGACTCCTTGAGGAGATGACAATTGTGTAAGATCATTTCCTTGTCCTTGACCACCAGCCACG